ATCACGGTGAATAATTTTATTTTTGTGTACTAAATTAAGCCCGATTGAAATTCTATATAATAGTTGTAATTTTTTTGGCCAGGGTACAGCATTTCTATTTAGAAAATGATGCAGATCTTTGTTTCGTACAAATTCTATAACTATTATATAATTTTTTGATTCAGGGTGTTGTGTGATGCCGAGATATTGATGAAGACCACTATTATAATTATCACTTTTTTTGCATTAAAAAAAGTTTTTTAGCTAAAATAACAAATAAAATAATACAGTAGTAAGTTTTAAATTTTAAACTTAATTAAATTAATTACAGAATTATGCAAATATTACATTATTATAGAAATAGATATAGACCTCATTTAAAAAATCAGCATCCATTTTTTCTGAATTATTCAGAATTTTAAAAACAACATTATAATTTTTACTCTGTTTGTACTTTTGCTCCTTAGAACACCATTGTGTAATAGGGCCATTAACCCATGTTGTTTTATATATTACACTAAACCCTCCTTTAGCAAGGTATTCAATATTAGTAAATTGTTCATATGGAATAAATTCTAATTTTGAATTGTTTTTACAGTTACTATGAAAAGTTTGTGTTGATTCAATAAAATCGTCTATTAATTTATTACCACTTAATATTCGTAATGAAGCCCGATAACAATCCTTACTTATATTGGGATTTACATTGTAGTAATATTTTCTTAAATTACATTTCTTACATTTTGGATATTTTGAATTTCTTTTCCGCCTAGAGACAAGTGAAACTGGATGCTCATTCTTTTTAACTAATTTTGTATCATGTAGTTGTAAAGTATTAATTTGTTCCTCGCAATGTTGAGCATTATAAATATTTAGTGAACTTGTATTAGTCTGATCTTGAGTAAAGCATGTTGTCAATTCTATAGATGAATTATAGTCAATTTGATTCTCATCATTTGGAGTAACACCTGTGGACAATTCTATAGTCGAATTATGATAAGTGTTTAATAGACTTGTATTAGTCTGATCTTGAGTAAAGCATGTTGTCCATTCTATAGATAAATTACAGTCAATTTGATTCTCATCATTTGGAGTATGATAAGTGTTTAATAGACTTGTATTAGTTTGATATTGAGTAAAGCCTGTATCCCATTCAATAAACGGATTATTATTTGTGAACTATTGTATAGCAATAGGTGGATTATTATTAGTTTGATCTTGACTAAAGCCTTCGGAACATTCTATTAATGAATTATTATAAACATTTGGCAAACTTAGATTAATTTGATCTTGAGTCAAGTCCATATGTCATTCTGTAGATAGACTATTATTAATTTGATTTTCATAACTTTGAGTAAAACCAGCGGGCCATTCTATTGATGGATTATTATAAATGTTTAGCAAATTTATATTAGATTGATCTTGAGTAAAGCCTACAATCTATTCTGTAAATAGATTCTTGTTAATATTTTGTGAGCTTTCTTCGTTATACATTATACAGCTGATTTAAAACGTTATTAGAAAATTACATTTATGATTTTGATTATGGGCAAAGTAGCTTACGAATTTGGTCAATTTATATAGAATTTGTATTTCACTATGGAAGATTCGAATTCATGTAGATATTCCATACATGACACAAAAAAATTACAACTATTATATAGAATTTCAATCGGGCTTAATTTAGTACACAAAAATAAAATTATTCACCGTGAT